GGAATACAGCCGTGCTCATTCATGTTTGTATCGTCCATGGCTGCCTTTGCAGTACAGCAGTAGAGCTGAGTCACGGCTTTGAAGACTGTATTGCCCAAAAAGCTGAATGAAAGTAAGTATTGACTGGCCCTTAAAAAGTTTGCTGACCTCTTGAGTTAGAGGAGGAGCAGGAAGACAAATGTGGCTGGCATGGAAGGAGTAAGGAAAATTAGATGAGATGGGGTGGGGGAAGGCGAGCAGCTCACGGTAGGCCTCATTGGCCAATGCGAGGATCATAGATAAGGTCAGAAAGCACTAGAGGATTTGATGCAGAGCACTGACACCATCTGATTTAGATGTTAGCGGGATCCTCTGCTGCTATGGTGACTATGTCAAGGGCACTAAGGGTGACACTTAGAACAACCTTAGGAGGAATTATTTTTGGATATACATTTGTACACTTACTGTGCCTTCATCAGGGTCATTGGCTAGGCAGTGAAATTAGACCCTAAAAAATCCCACTGACAACACTGAGGCTTGTAGGTGCATAGCTCATCCAAGGATATCCAACCAGGAGTAGCCAAGCTCTCCTGACTGTGGCTTCCTCCCCAGGATGTGCTGGGACACAGCTTGATGGGACCTAGTATGCATCTCTTAGGCTGCTTGTCCACCATCTTGCATGCCATTTCTGAAGCTGGACACATTGGTGTGGATGCCTGCCACACTCAGGGCAGAATCCAGCCTTATGTGATGCCACACCTTGAACCTGATCACAGCCCTTCATAAAAGAGGCAGTCACCACAATAATGGGCTTTCTCCTTTAGAGAGGCTATGGGGTCCTTCTTTCAGTTCCTTTGGGGTATGAGAGAAGAAAAGGACCAAGTCCAGTCTCATGAGATTTGTGACTATCTATCTGATGGGGGCAGCAAGGTGTCATCCCAGGGACAAAATCTCAGTTTCTTGCGTCATTGGTTAGTGGGTGAGATCATGGCATGGAATTTTGAAGGAAAAATAGGAAAGTACTTTCGATACCTGGCTGCCTGAAAAACAGTTTAATTGCCTCTGCTGTTCAGGGATTTGCATGGACAACTCAGATTGTTTGACTTTATTTCAAAAGTTCTGTATATGGTAACCAAAGGCATATGTAATTTAAAAACCTCCAATTTTTTTCTCCCCAAACCCTACTTGAATTTTGAGAAATCTATAGCTGCTTGGTACCTTTTCACTAACCTGGACTCCTAGAAGAGCCTGTATTAGCTTCCTGTTTGTGCTGTAACAAATTACCGTGGATGTAGTGGCTTAAAGCAACTCACAGTTATTATCTTACTGTTTTGGAGGTCGGAAGTTCGTAATTCTTCTTAGTGGACTACAGTTAAGGTTCTTTTAGGGCTGTATTCCTTCTGGAGGTGTAGGAGACAATACTTCCTCTTGCCTTCTCCAGCTCCTAGAGGCCACCTGTGTTCCTTGGCTCATGTCCCTTCCTCCATCTTAAAAGACTGAGAGTCTCAGACTACAGCTATCGTTGTCACATCTGTTTCTCTGCCCTTGGCCCTCCTGTATCCCCCATATAAAGACCCTTGTGATTACATTGGCCCCACCCAGGCCATTCAGGATACTCTCCCCATCTCAGATTCCTTCATTTAATCCCATCCACAGAATCCCTTTTGGCATGAAAGTGAATATACTCACAGGTCCCAGGGATTAAGATGTGGACACCTTTGGAGGACCCTTTCACCTGTCCTGTGCCTCCCTCTTCACTAATACACTCCAAGCCTGACATGCTCTGACTCGTTTGCTCTTCCTGGGCTGCCCAGGCTTGCCCATCTATCATTTGTCATTGCCCTTTCTGCATTTGTGTGTGGAAGAGGTGATGCCTTAGTGTAAGGCAGTTATTCTGTCTAGTCTGTAAGGTCCTTGAGCATAGGGATTCCCCTCACATTCTCTGAGCAAAAGCCAACGAAACACTTGCCCTCCCTTTCTTCACCTCTCAGTTTCACATGTTGGGTACCCCCAATCAAAACCCTGTTTCCCCTAAGCTTCCTGTTACCCTCTGTGCCTCTTCTCTCCCTCTGTGGGTCAGCACACGGTTAGCGGTAATGATGGAAGAATGCAGAGACTGTTGACACCGTGCCCCAAACCTCCACTGCCTAGCACACAGCCCCCCACAACTGTCATCAGCTAAGGTCTGTGTGGGCTCCCTGGGGTCCCTACTGAGGTCCCTGTAGGGAGCGGCACCCTATATTGCTCAAAATATGTTGGGCCACATTTTCTAATGGGATCACACCTACTTTTAGTCCTCTGGCTCAAGACCAAAAAAACCATGGGATGACCCCTTTTTGAAAGCAACCCTGGGGTCATCTTTTTTTTTTTTTTTTTTTTTTTTTTTGAGACAGAATCTTGCTCTGTTGCCCAGGCTGGAGTGCAGTGACGGGGTCTTGGCTCACTGCAGGCTCTGCCTCCTGGGTTCATGCCATTCTCCTGCCTCAGCCTCCTGAGTAGCTGGGGCTACAGGCACCCGCCACCACGCCTGGCTAATTTTTTATATTTTTAGTAGAGATGGGGTTTCACCGTGTTAGTCAGGATGGTCTCGATCTCCTGACCTCGTGATCTGCCCGCCTTGGCCTCCCAAAGTGCTGCGATTACAGGTGTGAGCCACCGCGCCTGGCCAACCCTGGGGTTCTCTTCTATAGTGGAGGGAGAGAACATGGAAAGATGAGATTAAAGAACACACTTCTCCCTGAGGTGCATCCTGGCTCCTGGCTTCAATTTTTGAGACACTACCCACCCTTGACCTTTGGAGGAGAGGTGAGCCAGGCCCCTGGAAGTTTAGCAGCTATGGGAGGGAAAAAAAGAAAATCTGGCGTGGCGTTTCTTCTCATGAATCACCTGTAGTTTTTCTTAAAAATTACTGGAGTCCACCACAGCCTTTCCAACTCTTGAATATGCTGGAGAACCCTGAGTCAGGACTCTCAACAAGAAGATCCTTGCCAAACAGGCACTTTGAGCTGCTTTCTCACAGCTCAGACCCCAGTGTGGACACTCAGGTCCCAAGACTGTGCCCATTTCCCTGAGGTGGAAGGGAGAGGAGCTGTCTTCAGGGGGAGATGTGCTACTGAGCAGGCAAGTCTGGATCCGAATGCTTCCCCTTCCACGTGCTCCAGCCCAGTGTCCCACAGCCTAGTGGCCTTTGGGCATCTCTAAGTCAGCATGCCCCAGATAGAGCTCATTTTCTCCCCGCACATGCCTTCCCTTCCTCCCCCTGCATTCCGTGTGTGTGTTTGTGTTACCACCATCCACTTAGCAGCTCAAGGCAGAAACCTGGAGGCCATGGATATGGGTCAAATTGGTCAGGGGACATAGCAATATGGTGATCACATTCAAACAACATTTCAAGTAGTTTACACAAAGTCATACAGATTATAAATAATAAATCTGTGTTTGAACCCAGGTCTTTGGATTCCAGTTCCTTGGTCTTCCCTCTGCTCTGTACTGCCTTTCCGTAAGGAATGGATAAAAAGTAGTCTCTGGCAGTCCATGAGCACTGCCTTTAAATAGCCTAAGAGTTGTCGTGGAAGAATTTGCTTGCTCCATAGAACTTCAAGAGTAGATGCAAGACCAATTAATGGCTTCAGAGAGGTACACATGCCAATCCAGTGTGACAAAACATTTATCACTCGTGGCTGGCCAAAATGGGGTAAGCTGTCCATGTCAGACTGCTGGATGGGATGTTCTAGAGGGAACTGAAGGGTCCAATCCTGAGCTTCTGTGATTTCATGATCCCACCACAGGGCATTTCTGGGTCATGATGTTCATAATTGTAACCCTTAGAAAGTTGTTACCCAAATAATATAGTTGAATGCTGCCACGTTCCAAGAAACAGTTCAGCAGGCTGGGTGTGGTGGCTCACACCTGTAATCCCAGCATTTTGGGAGGCCGAGGCGGGTGGATTGTGAGATCAGGAGTTCAATACCAGCCTGGCCAACATGGTGAAACTCCGTCTGTACTAAAAACACAAAAATTAGCCAGGCATGGTGGCAGGCGCCTGTAATCCCAGCTACTCGGGAGGCTGAGGCAGGAGAATCGCTTGAAACTGGAAGGTGGCGGTTGCAGTGAGCCGAGATTGCACCACTGCGCCCCAGCCTGGGCGAAAGAGCGAAACTCTGTCTCAAAAACAAACAAAAACCCCCACACGTTCCTTATTGGCATTCTTACACGCTCCATGGCAGTATTTCTTAACTCTTTTTCCCCCATGCATGTTGCCTAATCAATTCCTCAGGCACCTCTGCTTGTCTTAATTCTCCCAGAAAACTTCCTCAGGTCCAGTTGCTGCTCTTCCCCTTTTTTTCTTGACTCTTCACCACCAAAGCCCTAATCTGCCTTTTTGATTTTTGGAGTGGGAAGGGGCAGCTTAAGTTGCAGGTCCCTCTGGCACTCTAGTGAATTGGTCCTTTCTAGATGACAAGCCATCTTTCTTTGCTCGGGTCCAGGTAAGGGAATCATCCTTCCCTCTGCCTCACATCCCACATCACAGGAGCCCATGAGGGAAGGCCTCAAATGCCAGAGTAAGAGCTTGGATTAAAGTGAGGGATGGTTGGGGAAACAACAGATTGGATTCTATTCTACTTTCTAAATTTCTCTAGAACCAGGCTCTTCCTCGCTTCCACACTCTCACAGCCCTAGGTCAGGCCACCTTCAAGTCTTACCCGAATTTCTCCAATAGCCTCTTTTCAGGTCTCAGCTTCTAGTCTTGCCCCTCCCATCCATTCTCTACATTACAGCCAAATGCCGATCTTTCTAACATTTTTCTTTTTCTTTTTTTCTTTTTTTTGAGACAGAGTCTTTGTCCCAGGCTGGAGTGCAGTGGTACGATCTCAGCTCACTGCAACCTCTGCCTCCTGGGTTCAAGCAATTCTCTGCCTCAGCCTCCCAAGTAGCTGGGATTACAGGTACCCGCCACCAGGCCTGGCTAATTTTTGTATTTTTAGTAGAGATGGGGTTTCACCATCTTGGCCAGGCTGGTCTTGAACTCCTGACCTCGTGATCCACCCGCCTCGGCCTCCCAAAGTGCTGGTAGAATTACAGGCGTGACCCACTGCGCCTGGCCCTTTCTAACATTTTTCTAGAGGGCAAATCTGATCATTCCCCTGCTTAAAGTCTTCATAGATTCCCTGGCTCTCCTCAGTTTAGTCTAAACCTACTCCTGGCATTTGATGCCCTCTCTATTTGGCTCTGTGACTTCTCTAGCTTCATCTGTTTTTCCAAACACTTTCACTGCAGGAAGTTCTTCACTGTGCCTCCATCTGAGCCTTTGCTCAAGCTGTGCTGTCTGCCTGAGATGTCTTCCCCTCCTTTTAACTACTTGACAAATACCTACACCTCTTCCAGGATTCAACTTAAGCATCACCTCCTCTCTAGAGCACCTTCTGACTGCCGGTCTCAAATGAGTTCTCCAAGTAGACTTCTTCCTGCAAACCCACCGGCACCCATTCCATTTTCTTGTCTAGACTGGGCACTGCTGGTGGCCTGGGTTTTTATCATCTATCACTGGCAGGCTGCACTGGGCGGGACCTACCACATACTCCAGTAAATGTTGAATGAAGGGAGGAAAGAACTCTTGGGGCCATCAAGGGGGCCTGGTGCATTGGAGTTTGATGAATTTGGGTTAAGGTACAAACACCCCAAGTGCTGTTTGCTCTTGGGCAAGTCCTTAGAATTCTGAGCCTCATTTCCTCAGCTCTGCCTACCTGCAGAACAACACAAGTGAAGTACCTAGTGCAGAGCCTGCCTTACTGGAGGGGCTCAAATACTTAGGCCCTCTCCACCAAGAGGCAGAAGAGGAAAGGTGTCCAGTAGTGAGCAGGTTAGGCATGGAAATGCAAGGGGGTTGAGCAGAAACCTCTGAGACCCCAGTGTGCTTGGATTTCTAAAACTCCCGACTCGTGCTCTGTCCTGGAGCAAACTTGAGTTACAGAGATGGGGGTGACACACCAAGTGTCGGCCAAAGCCAAGCCCTCCCCCACTGCCTGAATGGACCAGCCCTGAGTGACATCACAATCCCAGGTGGTTGCCATGGCACTACTGGGGGTGTGGGGGGGTGTCTCATTTCTCCCCAGGGAGCTCTAGGCTGTGGATGTGAGAAGGGGAGCAAGAGAGGCAGATGGCGACAAGGAACAGCCCCATGGCCCTGGGCACGGCTCAGGGTGACCCTGGAGAGGCAGGAACACGGCCAGGCTCTGATGCCGGCCTCCGGGACACAGGTGCGGCCACTCAGCTCAAGATGAAGCCCAGGAAGGTGCGCAAGATCAAGGCAGTTGTCATCGACCTGGGCTCCCAGTACTGCAAGTGCGGCTACGCGGGAGAGCCGAGGCCCACCTACTTCATCTCCTCCACCGTGGGAAAACGCTGCCCCGAGGCGGCCGACGCTGGCGACACCCGCAAGGGGACCCTGGTGGGCCACGAGCTGCTCAACACGGAGACACCTCTCAAGCTGGTGAACCCGCTGAAGCACGGCATCGTGGTGGACTGGGACTGCGTGCAGGACATCTGGGAGTACATCTTCCGCACGGCCATGAAGATCCTCCCCGAGGAGCACGCTGTGCTGGTCTCCGACCCTCCGCTCAGCCCCAGCAGCAACCGGGAGAAGTACGCAGAGCTCATGTTCGAGACCTTCGGCATCCCCGCTATGCACGTGACGTCCCAGTCGTTGCTGTCCATCTACTCGTACGGCAAGACCTCGGGGCTGGTGGTGGAGAGCGGGCACGGCGTCTCGCACGTGGTGCCCATCTCCGAGGGCGACGTGCTGCCGGGCCTGACCAGCCGCGCCGACTATGCTGGGGGTGACCTCACCAACTACCTGATGCAGCTGCTCAACGAGGCAGGCCACGCATTCACGGACGACCACCTGCACATCATAGAGCACATCAAGAAGAAGTGCTGCTATGCGGCCTTCCTGCCCGAGGAGGAGTTCGGCCTGGTCCCGGAGGAGCTGCGCGTGGACTACGAGCTCCCGGACGGCAAGCTCATCACCATTGGCCAGGAGCGCTTCCGCTGCTCTGAGATGCTCTTCCAGCCCTCCCTGGCGGGCAGCACCCAGCCGGGCCTCCCGGAGCTCACGGCTGCCTGCCTGGGCCGCTGCCAGGACACGGGCTTCAAGGAGGAGATGGCCGCCAACGTGCTGCTGTGTGGCGGCTGCACCATGCTGGACGGTTTCCCCGAGCGCTTCCAGAGGGAGCTGAGCCTCCTCTGCCCCGGGGACAGCCCTGCGGTGGCTGCAGCTCCTGAGAGGAAGACCTCCGTGTGGACCGGCGGCTCCATCCTGGCCTCCCTGCAGGCCTTCCAACAGCTCTGGGTCAGCAAGGAAGAGTTTCAGGAGCGGGGCAGCATGGCCATCTACAGCAAGTGCTGAGCCTCGGCATCTCCACAGACAAGGCCTTCAGCACAGGTGGCCGCAGGCCACTCTGTACACATTTACAGAATTTCACATAAAGCTTTACTCTGAAATGACTCTTGTCTAGTCTGGGTTTCTTGCTTCAATCTGATAGCAGAGGGTTGGGGGGAGTCGGGCTTAGAAGTGGCAGCACCTTTTGCACTGGAGGTGTGGGTTGTAAGGAAGGGGCTACCATACTGGTCCCACCCCCTCTGCCTGCCTCATGATGGTGACATCATCTCAGGGCCTAGAAAGTGGCCTCCTGTTTTATTAGCACCTCCAGATTCAAAACCTGATCCAACAGACATTCCTTATCGCTCGCTCAACTAAGGGGGTTGGCTCTGATGAAGGGACTAGCTTGGGTCACCTAGCAGTAGGTTGGAGGAGACGCACAGCTGGGTGTCTGACTCCAGTCTCTTGTTTCTGCTGCTCACAAGTACTCCCAACCTTAACACTGCTTGATCACTCCAGGTTCCCTAACCTCCCTCTAGTGCCTGCCACCCTCAATATGGGAGCCTAAGGCTGTGCCAGTGCATCTCCTGAGTGTGAAGCGCCATTTCTACCCATCTGTGGGTGTACCCCTTTCAACTGCAACCAAAATTGGAGCTATTTTTCCAGAGTTACAAAGCAGAGCTGCTGATCGCAGAGGATGTCAGAGGAACCAGAAGGTCCTTTAGAAATCGGGTCCTCTCCCTGCTATAGAAATGGGGAAACTGGGCTGGGTGTGGTGGCTCACAACTGTAATCCCAGCACTCTGGGGAGCCAAGGCAGGTGGGTCACCTAAGGTCAGGAGTTCAAGACCAGCCTGGCTAACATGATGAAACCCTGTCTCTACTAAAAATAGAAAAATCAGCTGGTCATGGTGGTGGGTACCTGTAATCCCAGCTTCCCCAGGAGGCTGAGGTGGGAGAATCACTTGACCCCAGGAGGTGGAGGTTGCAGTGAACTGAGATCACGTCATTGCACTACAGCCTGAGTGACAGAGCAAGACTCCATGTCCAAAAATAGAAAAACAAAAAGAGATGGGGAAACTGAGGACCAGAGAGGAGAGGGCCAGCCTAATGCCAGTGGTTGAGCCCAGGTCTCCTGATCCACATTAAGATTATTCCCAGAAGGGTGAACATGGTTCTTAATGGTTAGTCAACAACCCAAAGCACTTACCATGCATCTACTGTGGGCCAGGCCCAGTGCTGGGGACTGAGAAATGACCAGAACAGTGTCTACCCTTGACAATCACACACAGCTAATGGACCACATTGATAGGGAGGGAAGGTCTAAGCTAAGTGTTCATGGTGGCGAGAAGGTAGTGGTGATGCATTGGAATGCTGTAAATGGAGAAGTTGCTGGGCATGGTGGCCACTTACTGGCTTTGGGGCTGAGGGAGAGGCTGTGGAGGCTTGTGAGATTTCAGCTGGTGACTAACTGCCTACTTAGAAGAGTGGGTTCCTGCTCCCTTCCCTACCCTCACCTTCCAATGGAGTTCATGACCCAGTTGGTGCCATCTATGGGATCAGACATCCATGAACTGCATAGTCTGGGATGGGCTGAGACTTAAATATCGCTGAGTCATCACCATAAGCAAAGGGTCCTGATTTGGGGCACCCCATGAGGCTGCCTCTGTCCTGGACCCAGTGCTGGGGGCTGCAGACTTGGGCAAGAACCAGACACAGTCATTATCACTTAAGGCCCTGCTCTTTAGTCCTTCCCCATTGTCCAGAATTGGGCATCTAGCCTGGAGTTTGAATACCCCTGGTCAAGCAGGGCCTTGGCAGCAGGCATGGAACCTGGACTCTTTCCTGTAGAGGGATGTTGCAGATTGGAAGCCTGGAGGCTGAAGGTGGCCAATAAACGTTTTGTTTGGCCATCACAGTGTACAAGTGTTTTCTTAAATGTGAATTTTTTTCTGTGGGGCTGCATTTTCCAGGTTGCCAACGTCCCTGCCACACTGATGTCTTCATATATACTTGTGGCTTCAACACAACTTCTTCCTTAGCATTAGTTTCTGTTGCTTGCAACCCAAGTGATCGTAAAAAGCCTGATGAAATACAGAGAGGGAAGCTGAGGCTTATAGAGGGAAAGTGATGTACCCCAAATCACACAAGCAGTAAGTGCTACATGTGAACCCCACTCCCACACATCCTCAGCACCTTCTCCTGCCTCTAGTCACAGCTTCAGTCCCTTCACCACCTGGTCATCTCCTTGAAAGCATCCTTCATGTGGCAGGGGTCGTAAAAACAGTAAGTAAATTGCTAGATCCTTGACATGAACTTATTTAAGCTAACCAGAGGATTCAGCAGGAGATTTATTTCTGGTGGAAAAACACGGGTCAGTGACTTCTAGCTTAAGATGACCCCCTGACCCTGTGTGTTTATCTCCCCTCCCTTCTCAGAGTCCATGGAGTCATAGTAGAGAATATAAATGCATACGCTCAGTGCAAATGAAGAGGATGATAGGGGAACTACAGGGACTAGAGATTTCTATCTGATTCTGGAAGAAAGAGAGTGGAGGTGGGAACCAAGGAAAGAGGCAAGGGTAGGAATTTCCTGTTCTGCAGAATGGGCAGGAATTTGCAACTTGGAAATGCCAGGCAGCAAAGACATAGGAGTGTAGTGTGGGAGAGTGGGAATGGGCTGAGGAGGGTGGTGCCCGTGGTCTCTATCTGAAGAATTGAGGCTTTCCATGTTCACAGAGAAGGGTGAGCACACTGGCCACCTCTACAGGTATGTTTCTTAGGAAGAAAGAAGTTGAATTCTCTCTCTAAAGATGGTGCTGGTATAGGAAAAGGAGGAGGGAAGCTTATGAAGAACACACCAGGAGCCCCACCTCCACCCGCTTGTCCCTTCTCCAGACCGGGAATCACACTTGGAACTAGCTCATATTCCCGAGGTAGAATATTTGATGCCTCCAACTTTCCTCTTATCCCTTTCCATAACTCCTGGTTTCTGCATGCGCATCGGATGTGACCCAGGACTGACTTCCTTTCCAGCACCAGGGCAGAGCATGTGATTTAGGCTCAGCCAATCAGAACATCCATCTCTTAGGTCATAATGATTGGTTCTGGGTGAACATGCGATCTCAGTAGAGTCCTGGAGAGTGAATCCTATGCTTTTTGCTTGGAAGCTTGATGTGAAGTTGAAGGGTGTGTCCTAGCACTGCTGTGGCATTTGTTACTAGGAAAGAAGCCAGCTTGGAACTGACCCACCAAGGATTGTGGAGGTCAGAGAAACAAAGCTGGTGCCCTGGGGACAAAGTGAACCTCCGAATCAAACCATGCCTAGAGTTTGAACCCACTCCCAGGTATTTCAGTTCTGTGAGCCATGCATTCAACTTCATCATTCATGTCCTTTAGGGTTGTGTGTCTGTTACCTGCAATGGAGAGCATTCTAGCTGCGTCAATTTCCTTCTCAACAACAGCATTCCTCTGGAGCAGGTTTGCATGGAGAAGAGACTGGGGTTAGGGAGGCCTCTTTTAATTGAAATATTAAGACCAACAATTCATTTTTTCCTTATGAAAAAACTACATAAGAAGAGTTTTTATCAAGGTACCAGAGGATATCAGATAACATACTACACTGAAGGGCAGAGACCAAAGAGTGTCTGTTGACCATTATCTTATATATTCACTTCTTAGATATTTGTCCCTAAGGTTAGACTCAGAGCTTCTTGAGGGCAGGAACTGTGTTTCCCTCATTTTAGTTTTCTCAGAGTCTGGTGCAGAGTATGGCACAGAGTTGGTGCTTAGTACATGCCAAATGAACTCATTTATTCCCAGTCTGTGAGGTGGACATTACAGTATTTCCCCCCATTTTACAGGTGAGGACACTGAGGGCTGGAGAGGTTAGGAGTCTTGTGCAAGGTCACCTATCTGGTAAACCAAAGTCTTGTGCTAAATCAAAGTTTTGAGATTCCACAATGACTTTTTGCCCTTGTCTCTTACCTTTCTGAAAATTATCAATCTCTTTCCCAAGAAGAAAAATTTACATATAAAAATTGCTTTCAAATCATGCACAACAAATTTGATATAATTTCATAGTCATTATCCTGAGGTTTCAAAGTTAAAAATGCCAATCTTTTAGCAAAGAAGAGACTTGTCTTGCTGGAACCTTCCACAGACATAAGCATTAGAGTGACATCAAGTGGTGAAGTCTTACCACTTCCACATGGCAAGATCCTGTTTTCCTCACCGTCCAGGCAGTCTGATCTCTCTCCCCAAAATGTTTGTTACCAAGTTTGCCCTAAGAGTTATTTGCCCAAGGTCCTTTTTGTTTTTTGTGTTTGTTTTGGTTTTTTTGAGATGGAGTTTTGCTCTTGTTGCCCAGGTTGGAGTGAAATGACGCAGTCTCAGCTCATGCAACCTCCACCTCCAGGGTTCAAGCAATTCTCCTGCCTCAGCCTCCTGAGTAACTGGGATTACAGGCACCTGCTACCACACCCAGCTAATTTTAGTATTTTTAGAAGAGATGGGGTTTCACCATATTGGCCAGGCTGGTCTCGAACTCCTGACCTCAGGTGATCTGCCCGGCCATGGCCTCCAAAAGTGCTGGGATTATAGGCATGGGCCACCGTGCCCAGCCCCAAGGTCTTTTTAAGAAATTAACTTTATAGCCTGGGCACAGTGGCTCACACTTGTAATCCCAGCCACGTGGAACTGTAAGTCCAATTAAACCTCTTTCTTATGTAAATTGTCCAGTCTCAGGTATGTCTTTATCAGCAGCATGAAAATGGACTAATACAGTAAATTGCTGAAAAGATAACCGAAAATGTGGAAGCAACTTCGGAACTCAGTAACAGAAAGAGATTGGAACACTTTGGAGGGCTCAGAAGAAGACAGGAAAATGTGGGAAAGTTTGGAACTTCCTAGAGACTTGTTGAATGGCTTTGCCCAAAATGCTGATAGCATTTTGGTCTCAGATGGAGGTGAGGAACTTATTGGGAACTGGAGCAAAGGTGACTCTTGTTATGTTTTAGCAAAGAGACTGGTGGCATTTTGCCCCTGCCCTAGAGATTTATGAAACTTTGAACTTGAGAGATGATTTAGGATATCTGGTGAAAGAAATTTCTAAGCAGCAAAGTATT